AGGGCAGTAGTGCGGTAGTGACACTTTTCCGGACATGGGTCCCTATACTCAAATGTTTTCTACTGTTGCACTGAATAACCCCTAGAAGTTTGATCCCATAGTTCTGAAACACCCTGTATATATATATGTATATAAATAATATGTATATATATGTATATAAAAGTTGTCTAAAGAAATCTTACCTAAATCATCGGAAAAAGAGACGGCAGTCAAAGCGCCAGCAATTCCACCGACAGCTGTGATTAACTGCGCCCGCGCAGCATCGAATTTACTGAATCCACTTTTCAACAAGATCGCAAAATCTCCGACTTCATGAGGTATTTCATGCACCAGAATAGTAAATGTAGTGACGACACCTACATTGAAGGAAATGAGGAATGATGCACCCACGGATAAACCATGGGTAAAATTGTCGAGAGAGTTCATCAAGAGGTTCAGGTATCCAGGGAAACTTTTGGGATTTAAGAATTTGCGAAACAGATCAAACATGTATTTTTTTGTGTGCACGATTAATTGATTAACAGCACTGGCGCGTGAAACTGCCGTTAAATTGAAACCGTTGGGTTCTGTCAGTTTCTTCAACCAGTTCATCGTCGCTTCGTCGATCAATAGACTATTGGTTGAACATTCGCTTCTTGACGCGAATTTCAAAACATCTTTCTTAAAACCGTTTTTTCGCAGATCTTTAGCATCGTTCGGCATCTGTACGAATCCATTTTTGTGAGGTTTTTTCTCCATCTGTTGCAAAAAAATATGCTCGATTATCTCATGTATATAAACAATTATTAATTTCAAAACATTTAACACTATTGGTTTACTTATTCTTACTTTCGTCGAATCTGTCGAGTAATTTTTGACAAAACCGTTCTTTTCGGTGTTCATCATAATGCAATTGTTGTTGTTCCTTTCTTTGTCCTTATTCGCATCATTGGTGGTAATATCATCGGCGGTAATATCATCGGCTTGCTGTTCCGGGACGATAGGTATTTCTTCGTTTACAGTAGTAATGATCTTTTCGATGATCACAAAGAACAGAAAAGCGCACAACACCAACAGCAGATTTGCGGGCTTAGACGCGTGATTATCGTCGTCCTTGGCTGTAAATAAAACACGCGTCAACGTGCAATGCCTGTAAAGCGGAAGGACAAGACGGATAAGAAGGATAAGAAGGATAAAACAATGATGTCTGCGAATAAATCGGATTGCATTGAGTATGCAAATTAATTTAATGACTTTACACACACAGACATTCACCTACTCTCGATTTATTTTAATTTCAATTATTTCTCACTTTGAGTAATTTAAATAGGAACCATTTATGTTCACAAAACTTCGTACAATACCGCATAATCGCAATAACTAAAAATCAATTGTGTTCACAATGCACATCAAGTACTACATCCTCTTTGCGTTTCGGTTAAAGAAAAATTCTGCTGAAAAGCAGCCTAAATGATTTGATTTAGACAAAGATACAGTGACTCTCAAAACATATATATAAAAACTGGTTGCAAAGGTTTAAAGAAAAAAATTTGAATTTGTACGACAACCCTTGGTCTGGTAAGTCAAAGAAATATGAGAACATCGAGTTACAAGAGCTATTGGACAAGATCGAATACAAATACGCACAGAGAAATAAAGAAAAAGATCATTTTGTTCCATGACAATAATCGGCCTCACGTTGCAAAGTGACAAGACAAAATCATTTTTTACTTTTAATTGAGAAGTTTTACGGCATATTCCGCGAAAACATTGTTTCTATTGACAAAAACTATTGAAATTCTATTCTACTATTGAAATTCTATTCAACTATTGAAAATAATTTCTATTGAAATTATATAAGCTGAAATGTGTATTATTGTTCAGATCGATTCGTACTGGTATTATTAATTCGCCTCGAATTCCTAACACAGTTCGAGTCAGTAGTGCGTTCAATTTACATGGCAGCTGGCAATTTAAATCCGCAACTGATGCACAATGGAGTTCGAAGCTGCCGTTTAAATCGTTTATAAAGCTCTCAATGTTATTCTAAAGACTAGAGCACATTCTGTAGAGTGTGTATGAACGTTATAACGAATTCAAATTGTATGTATCAATGTGTGTGTGTGTGTGTGTGTGTGTGTTTACCATAAAATATTCTACAAGGTACCCACAAAATACGTTATATTATATACACATATATATGTATATATTCGCGTTGTTCGCAATATTGTAGAAATGTCAGAATAATATTATGCTTGTTAATGTGTATATTATACATACGTACGTGTCTAGTTTTCCCATCTCTCCGAGTAACGACGTCTGATAAACTAATTGTTTCACTTGTTAACTCGCTTAATTGCGAGGAATAAATTTAAAAATCTCACACGTAACCGATTTTCATCTCTTAAACGGTAATAAATAATTTAAATTTTACTTATTATATTTGTTCAATAGCGTGATTTATCTGCGATATCACAATCAATAATTTTTTTCATTTATTTTTTTTTTTTTCTCGATAACATTGATCTTATCGGTAATTAAGATTTTTTTTAGATAGAATTAATCTTCTTAACTTTGTAATTACATTTTATTATATAACGCGATTATGTGAAATTTATTACTTAAATATAAATGCTATTATGTGTAATTAATTAAAGAGAAAAATTACTTTTGTTCTGCAGTTTGCTTCCAAACATCTCAGGCAAGAGATGTAGAAACACGTTGACCAACAGTGCACCCAGCCCATAACTCGAAAAGATCCTCAAATTTCTGCCGAACTCTGTAACGAAAGAAAAGTCACATTAGCTAACACTTTGTGTTAGCGGCATATAGATAAGAAGTGTTTTGCAAAAAACGTGTACAACATCAAATCTCTCGGGTGATGTATCTTTTCAACGCGCAAGAAAGATAATCGTGAAAAGAGATATAATCTTAGAAACTATTTGTTTGCATATTTTTTGTAACTTTGTGAACAACATTTTAAAATCTCTCTTTTGATTCTTCGTTGACTTTTGAGATTGAGAAAAACGCATTCATTATCACATCGCAAGACAAAAAAATGGATTTTGTTACACAGAAAAATAACATAAAAAATATATTGTTAATAACGGAAACCATAAATCATTGATCGATCGTTCGTGTGTTGTTGGTGAACGCGTCTGGTAGACAACGATAAGGTTGGCCCAGGTAAATGGGCTCAACAAAATGAACTATAAAAGTTAATGCTTTTTAAAGATCACGAAATCTCTTTCGTTTGAGTACAATCGCTTTGTAACGATATTGCCAGTATATATTTTGCTTATTTAAATCGACGAAAATATAAGTGATAACTTGAAAAAATATCTCAAATTTTATGTTTTTGTTTTTTTTCTAACAAAATATCACCGATTTGCCGATTGCACAATATAACGCAACGTTTGATTTTAAGTTGTAAATGTAAATCGTGGTATCAAAACGGAGTAAAATTAAGTTGAAAAAACTATATTTTACAGAGTGTGCAATAATTAAATAAAGATTGAATCGGGTATACGTGCATATATAGTATATAAACTTTACAATAGCATTCTATATATGAGCATTCTATAGATCATATTAGGTAAAAAAGTGATCTCTTCTTGTGAGATAAATGGTAAAAATTTAAAGATACGAAATCACACATATATATTAAAACAAAAATAAAAGATTTGATGCAGTCGCGATAATCGCTAACAGAGTGTAACAATGTGATCATGTTGCTGCTGCAATTTGCAAGAGGCCATTTTGATAACCGCCGTGATGTCAACGAGTGATTCATGGGGAAAAATAGAGGAAAAGGAATATCTAAATGATAGAAGAACCTTGCTCCCGTTTTAACGTGATTGCGATTAATTAAACTGATCTCTTATTGCCTATAAACTTATTAAGTCTATTTCTTGAGCGAAATTGAAAACGTGAAACGCAGCAATGTTTTCTGTAAACTGTTTTTGTGTACCGCAAACGGTTATAATGTAATTAAAACCTTCTAATTCTGATTAAATTTTATAAAACACTAATGGATTGTTTTATCATCAAAAAAAAAAAAAAACAAAAACGTTGATCGATTTGCTTACAACGAAATAAAAGGTGAATTATTGATTAAAAACAGAAATAAGCGTCATATGCTGACAATGCAGACAGATAAGATAACCGGATAACAAAGTTCTAGAATTGTCAGAAACATTCGTTGTTCTGTAAAAAATATTGCTTTATAGTGCACGAGACACACACAGTTTTGTAAGGTTTAATTTTTCAAAATAAATTGACAATACATAACGGGTGTGTAAACTTTTCAACCATTAATCAAATTTTACGCAGTAGTTTTCTCGCGGAAAAAAATATCGCGTTTACACAGTAAGATGTATCTTATTTGAAATTTTAGTGGCGGACGTTTTATCTTTGCATTCGTGAACAATTGTTCGCGAAACATTCGCGCCGTGTTTTTACATTTAAAAGCGCAGCATGTACGTACACAAGATTAAAAAACAAATATTACCGCACTTCGTTGCAACAATTGTAGCAAATTATGTAACATTATGGAACATCTGAAACGTGTGCGTTGTAAAAATATTTCTTTGTAGTTCACAGATTAAAAAATTAATTTTTTTCATATAAATTTGTGTTTCGAGATTTATCTTTGTTGTTGTTACTCAGAAAAACATTATTTCGCATATGTTTTCTTTCTTTGTTATTGCAACGGATCTAATAACGTCGAATGACGCAATTTTGCATAACGCAACTATTGCAAACATTGCAAGAGAAGCTCGCTGTAAGAAATATATATATTATCCTTGAAATGCGCATTTTAATTTATTTATCTGTCTAACATCATAAACTGTCGAACTACATCTTGAAAAAACTCGCTCGTTCACTGTTTTTTTTTGTTTTTTTTTTATTGCTCTTACGTAAAATCTATAATAATTAAAATATATCGACTCTCCATATGACTTAATTAAACATACAAGTGTGCTGAAAACGTTTATGCTATAGTTTTTTAATAAACGGATTAAAATAATACACACTCCAAAAATTGTGTTTTGCTTCAACAGCCAAAAAAATTCATTGTTCATTAAAAAATTCCTGAAGCTACATACACTCATCTTTATATAATACAAGTGTGCTGTATATATAATTTTTAAGTTGTACATTTACACACCATCAGTGAAAAGAAAGTATTAATGAAAAGCAATAGTGATGCCGATGTGAAAGAGTAATGATTCTCAATCAGTAAATCAAGTAACAAAAACGACACACACAAGCGTTCTTCGAATTCAGATAACAAATGTCGGAGAGAACTGCTATTAGAATAATAACTCCGATTGCGCAATCGAATTAGACCGCGAATTGCGAAGATCACGTACTTAGTGGCTAAGTTTTGCTGTCTTTCGAGAAAGCAAAAGCCGCATAATACAGAGAGAAAAATAATAAATACGAAGTTATTTTATAGATATCTACAACGGAAAAGCTACAATATATTACAAGTCTTCGAATCTATGTTAAAAGTTTGTGCAATACCTAATTGTCTTATTTTCACGAGATTTATAAATAAAAAACTAAAATTATAGATATCTAGTTTTCATATAAGAGCATCATTTTCTCGACGCACATCTGCAATAGTTTTTCCCCGCGAAGATAGCAGGGAGTATCAACATGCTTTATTACGCTCTGCACGTGACTGATAAAAAGTAAACTTTATCGTTGTCGAGTAATGTACAATAAGCATATAATACACACGCGCGCAAAATTATTTCAACATTCGCAACACGTCGAAGGATCGTGACGGAGTGATTAAGTCGGAGAATTCTTTGCGGACTTCAGAAAGAGGATAAAATGCGGAGGGGAGCGCGAAGAAAAACAACCCGCAGATGTCTTAGAAATACATAACACCACATCTTATAGCATCCATTGCTTTCCTCTCGTCTAACAAACCCCGAGCGCAAAAGACAAGAGTTGTAAAGAAAGCAGTTGATTTCTGATGGTTGATTTCCCGTCATCGTACAAGATCCTCAGTATCGATAATGAAGATAATAACCCGATACACGCGATATCAAGAGACGAATCTACGAATATAAATAAAATTTCTTGTCGTTTTTCATCGGACCGATACCGCACAAAAAAGATCTCGCCGCATGTTCACTGATAAAAAAAGTGAGAAAAATTCAAGTGCTCACGATTAAAGTGATCATCATCATTTTTTTACATCAGCCTTGTGCAACACGCCTCCCCGACGTGACATAGATCTTTTTCCTCTTGTCGATTAAAAATTGTTATCAATTGATACAAGAGACTAGAGTTCGGGATGTAGCGTTGCCGATTTTATGTAAGAGGAAATAATAATAATAATAATACGTGTAAAATATATTAGTATTGATTTGTTCAAAGCTAGTTTAAAATATATTTGCAAAATCAATTGAAAAAAAAATATATAAAAATATAAAAAAATATAAAAAATAAAAAATATAAAAAATATAAAATAACGCACAGTTTAATGCAAAATATCTTGTGTAACAGCGAAAAAAAGTCAACATTTCGGATACTCATGGCGAGTAAATGTTCTCCTTTGTCATCGAAACGCGAATAATTGTTGTTGGAAAAAGTTACGGAGCATTACGCAACGCGAGTTTTTGTAATCGTATACATTGAGAAACGAATAAATTGTCGCGAAACTTCCTACATTTGTAACGAAACTTCGTACCGAACTTAAAGTTCGGCGAAAAGTAAAACGTTGATCTCGTTAATCTCACTTGTGTGAACTCGAAAAACCGTCGCATCGTTGATTCGGAAAGAGGATACGAGAGATAATAGAGAAAGTTATAACACGCCGCTCCAAAAAACAAAAGTAATTGCGCCGTTATTCATATAAAACAACGAAGAGAATAACGCGACTTTTATAGTCGCACGGACGAGATGCAACGTGCGAGCAAATTTTGCTCAGCTTTTGTTGCAGAACTATTTGTTAATTGTATCTACGAGAAACAACACTGCTTATACGGTCGAGTGATTTTTATTCGGTGTTCGCGGTTTCTGATATTATGTTTTCGCGATCACAACTTGATTATCACAGCAAAACAGACATCCACAACTTCTCGATTGCGGGAGAGAATTATCTGACAAACATGTGTACGTTTATTTCCGCACATGAACGTTTCGTATCAACGTAGGTCGAAATTAAAGTTAGCTGCGGCTGAGAGAATAACGCTATATCAATCCCAATCGTTGCTATTTATACGTTTGCATCCGCAAATTCGCGTTAACGTTTTATCGCGAACGAAATTGCGGCGAGTGCACCGCATGCTGTGCGGTACATGTGCATTAAGTAAAGTTGATACACTCGAAGGTATCAAAGTCCTCGATTGTTTTGCGATTAGATCTATAGTAATATTTTCATCGAAATTTCTCATCGGAGTCCATTGTCGAAAGGTTAAATGCAAATGGATAAATATAGCTTGCAAAGAAATGAATCGATTCTTTAACAATGATTACATTGTTTATCAACCGGCATTTGACCGGCACAGGATGTCGTTAATGATGAAATATTCATTAATTTTTCGGAGCGTGTGCGAATATCCGAACAAATTTATGTAGTGAACAACAAACTTTCGGGACCCCGCCCGATCTGAGACCCGTATATTTTTGAAAATTATTTTCGGGTACCCGCACACCCCTGTTAAAGTTTCCTCTTACAGAAACCGGATATAGAGAATGATAAATAGCCAATGTTGTGGTGAGAACAAATGAGAGAGACAACCAATTTTTTTTTTTTTTTTCAGGCTTTCAAAAGCACGCTTCACGTGCAAACACAGGCTGGAAATATCATTTAGGGTCATTCTACAATGAGTTGAAAATGTCCCGTCGCCAGTTGCGACTATTAGGAAAAAAAGTATTATTTCGTCACTCCCTACGTATAATCCCGTAACTCCAAAACGCAAATTTTAGAGGAGAGCAGTTTAAAAGTATAAAGCTTCATATGTTTCCCTATAGTTAGGGATCTTTCGGTTTCAAATTTGTACCTTATTTATGAATATTTTTTTTAATATTTGGTGACCATAAAGAACATGACTTTCTAAGTGTCATTATGCAATAAACTGAAAATCCCATATGTGACACTTATGTAATTATACGTAGGGAGTGACGATTTTACGTGCTGCAGTTGCCAGTTGCTGTTGACAAAAGTTAAAAGTTGACTACTTCTTTTTTAGCATTCGCAAAGAAATCATCCAGAATAATATTTTTCTTTTCGTAATTGCTAACTGAACTGGCAACAAGACATTTTCAATTCATTGTAGAATGGCCCTTAGCATTCTGTGTCGCGTCGAACAAGTTCTACGACCTTCGAATTCCACCGCGTATCTATTGCGTACATAAAGATATTGTCGTCAAATTTGGTTTTCTTTACTTTTTCTTTACTCTTTTTTTATACCTAATTTTTTTTGGAAACCAACTGTAAGGTCTATCCTATATTCTTTCGGTTTTCTATCTCACACAGACACACGTAACGTCCAATAGACGTCTATAACTCCATGTAACGTCTAAAAAAAAAAAAACAAATAATGAAAGTTCGTACAGAATGTTCGATATATTATTTTCTACTTCAAATGCGCTGAAGCTAATACAATAATTACGTCGATTCAAAACAGAAGTGATATTTTTTTTCAGCGTCACTTCGCGCGTTTGTCAGTCATCAGTGCGATAAATCCCACTTGACTTACATGTGTCACACACACAATTCCCAAGTTTCCTTCGCATTGTATTTATCTCATAATTCTTAGTAAAAAGCTATATATATGCCACGTGCATGTTGGCATCAGTTCTCTCTCTTGTCGCACACGTTCAATTATTTCGTGCGCAGTTTAAGCGTCGACACACACGTGCCGCTAAATAACGCTTTTATTTTGGAAAATACCGAAATGTCAAATATAACGATCTCTCGATTATGAATAAATAATTTCTTCTCTAGCAGTTTTTTTTTATTGCATCGATCCTCGTAACAAAACTCAACAGCATTCTCGAGACTATGTTTACATAGCATATATGTATATATATTCGTTATTTAAAAATCTTCTTTGTGTTCGTTCACTCTGCTATATTAAAAAAAAATTGAACTGTATAAAGCAAGAGGAAAAAATCCTGAGAAAGCCTTTGGTTCGTAACCATTCTCAATGCCAAGGTAATTGAGTTCTACAACTTCAGCACGCGTATGTATATCAGAGATTGCGTGCACCGAAAAAATTGTATTCTTATTTTGAGGATATCCCACTTACTTTAAGTATATTTTATACTAAAATAGGCGCCAAGAAGAGTTTCTTATTTTAAGAGCAAAATCCTCTAAATAGTAATATTGATAAGAATATATACTGATTAGAATATATAAAGCCTCTATGGAAAAACATATATATCTCACTATCGAAAAAGACTATATTCTTAAATTAAGAATATATTCTTGAATAAAGAATATATTCTTAATTTCAGAAGAATATCATCTAAAATCTTTAAGAAGATTTTTTAAGTATAAAATCTTCTACTTACGAGAATATAATTTTTTCGGTGTGGTAATTCGTACATAGACAAATTAAATCGCGGCAATTTTTTGTTAAAAAAATTATATGTATCATATAATTAATATTATTTGTAACGAGAAAATAATTCGCTACCGTTTCACACGCAATTCTCGTTCGATCGATGAAATAAAAATGACGTCACGAAATACACGTGTCGTACTTTGCGATATCTGTGAGTAAAACACGATAATTATTCACACAACAAACTTTGTGCACAAAACAATAAAACGCAACGATCTCGCGTGTCGCAATTATATGCGATACAATATTTCACATTATTTGTGAATTTTGTCCTGACAATGATTTATGCATGCGACACTTTCACACACTGTGTTTCAAGAGTGTCAGTGTGTGTGTGTGCGAAATACAAGAATCGTCGCGGCTGATAATTCGCGCAAATAAAAATACATACACGCGTTGCGTAAACCAACAACAACGAATGTCGCACGACAGAGCATTTGTGTGTTTCGCAGTCTCGGTCGTGTGACATTTTACACGAAGATTAAAAACGTGATACTTACTGTCATGTTGTCGCAACGAGAGTTTCGAAGGTAAAACGTTTATTATTGAGAGATAACGCGACTTACCGCCGGTTTTTGGATCCGCATGATTGGAAAAAACCCACAAGGGAAAAACACCGGTAAGACCGACCATGGTGCTGCCGATTAGAGCGAATATCCATGGCTTGTACGGAAAATAGCCCACAACGTCGTGCCAAGCGCTCGTTCCGTTGAGAATGTTGTGCGGGAAATAGTCCACGACGTCATTCCAGGTGTTCGTTCCGATAAGAATGATGTACGGGAGGAAGTCGGCGTTATTTGTACAATTTTGAACGCACGCGGCGGCTGCCATGTTTGTTGTCGCGCGTTCGCGGACTTCTATCACTGGGTCAAAAATCCTCTATCCCGTTTCCTCGATGATTTGATTGATTTCAATGACGTTTTTGATCGTCAAAACGTAGACTGTCCTTCGCGACGAAACTCACGAAATCGCGCTGAACGATGTCAGGCTGATGATGTCCCCGTGTTCTTTATCAAAGATAACCTCACCGCGATGAAGGCGTTGAGATGAGGTATCCGTGGAACCCTGTCCGTTGAGAGGAAGACGACGATGATACTTATTGTTGCGACGTGATCGACGAAGCGCAGGTTCGAAAATTTATCCAGATTACAGTTTGACAAGATAATAACGAGGAAGAACTGCGATCACGGGCGTAAATTTTTGGGGATCACGATAACGGCTGTGTTTATGTTTGCCCGTTGCGCACAAGTCGCACATTTGTTTTTCCGTGTCTGTGATTGATGGGTTTTTTTTTCTTCCCGTCGAGAAGACAACGAGCGAAGCCGCCGAGCGACCGACTAGCCTGCACTGAGGACTGAGCACGGACGCTTGGAATCAGGACGTCGCCGCTGTCTACCGCCTTGTTGAACCGCTCCGTCAGCCGGTCGTTATTTCATGCCGTTGTGTCGACGCGCGGACAAAGGCATTGACGCCGCCGTGGTCATTTAATGCGTAAATCACGGATCTCGTTCGAGAGACGCGTCTCTCTCTCTCTCTCTCTCTCTCTCTCTCGCTCTCTCGCGTTTATCTCTCTCCGTCCGCTTCCGCACACTCGACTATAACTCGTCAAAAAAAAAACACTCTGCTTTTGCTCCGCTTCGGGGTCTTTTTGCTAGCTCTTCCCGTAGAAAATCCACCATATAAATCTCTACGCTACGACGCAGTGACTGACGCGCGCCGATCCGCGAATGGCTCCTTTTATGATCGTCGTCATTCCCGCGAAATCGCATGCGCGCACAGAGAATCAAGACGGAGCGAGCTGATCGAAGCGCGTTCGACGAGGATACACGAAGAACCGACGCGCGCGCCAAGACGGCGGGAGAAAATTTATACAAGGCGGAGCGGGTCGACGACAAAGAGGTTCGATCGTGCGACGCAAAGAGAAACGGAGAGCGAGAAAGAAAACTGAATGAGAAAAGCGAGGATGAAGGATCGCGAGAAAGGGAGAAAGCGAAAAGAGAGAGAAAGAAAAAGAGAGAAAGAGGGAGGTGTAGACAAAGAGAAAGATCAACATATTCGTGCGAAGTCGATAAAGTTTGTTTACGAACATGTTTTTTTATTTTACTTATTAGAATGTTTCTCTCTTGACAACGTTGTGATATCAAATTTAAAGTGTATATAATAATATAAGAGATTCCGCTCTCTTTGCCTCTCTTTTTCCAAAGTCCGTGTTTAAAAAATGAAAATAATTGATCGAACTACGGTTTAAAGATCGAAGTCGAAGGACTTTTCCCATCCGGGCGACGACGCGACGAGAAAATGTCGTCATGTGCCTCGGATCAAACCTCCTCGTCTTCTGAGGATTTTTCGCGGATCTTCTCTTTTTTTATATTCTACGTATTATCGATGTCTCAAAATTATCTGCCGAGATAAAAGTGCTCGATAACGACGCGATTGTTAATTCGCGGATAACACTTGGGAGATTCGATAAAATTTTTTTTATCTGCGCAGCACGCGCGCCCGAAGAAAGAACAGAAATATTCAAGGAAAGAGCTAATTAACGCAAGTAATCGCTCGGCTGTTTTGCGTACTTCCAATGGAAATCTATTTGTGCGCACACAAGAAGAGAATTAGATTTGTATTTCAACATATATTGAGGAATCAACGAATAATTCAATTTGAAAACACGAATTTTCACTCGAGACAACAGCGCGCTCTAAGCGCGGTCGTCAAAGTACATGGCGCAGGCTATCGAATGTGATTGTTGATAAGAAAGGTTTTTTTCGGCAACGTCAGTTATTTTGAAAAATACTTGAAAAAAACAACAAGATACAAACAATTACAAGTTGTCATGTTATCAAAGTTGAAGATAAAACGATAAAAAAAAAACGTTTCTCTTTCTCTCTTGAACAGAAAGCAAATGGAATATATTAACAAACAAAATATACAAGAGAGCACCGGTTTAAAAATATTATACGAGGAATTTGTGTGTGTGTGAAATTTCAATTTCCACTTGTCAATTACCATTGATTGCAAATTAAAAAAAAAAGCCATTGATTGCAAATTAAAAAAAAAAAAGCAAAAACAACAGCGGTTAGGTCTCGCCTTATGTAATTAACCATCTGCCGAACTCACGCAGTTAGTCATAAATTATTTTTGCAACACGCAAGTTTTCAGCAAAATTTTGAAGACCTGGAAAATATATTATTAAAAACAAATATGTCTTTTTAAACTGATAATATATATATATATATATATATATATATATATATAATATATATAATATATAATATATAATATAT